ATGTAGTTTATTAAAATGACAACTAATTCAATATTTAAATATAAGAATCAAACGAATAGCAGCTTAGCAGACATATCGATTAGATACAGTAAAATCTCTACTAGTGAGCATCTCGAAATCATGAACAGTGCCAGATCCGACAGAGCGATTTTTGTTATTGCAACCTTTCTAAAGTGAACATGTTTTTTGAACCTCTTTCTCTTTTCTCTTACTTGTTTCGTATGCACAACGAGTAAGCATGAGTTTACTTTACAAGAAAAAATACTATTCATTCATGATAATAAATACAGTAATGATTCATAACACACAAATTGGATGAAAAATTTAATATAAAGGATGTCTCATAATAACTGACAATAAATTGTTAATGACATTTTTCATACTTTTTCTCGGGATTGAATGCTGAAATTTTCATCACATATATATATCTAATTGAGGTCTCGTATTGCTGAAGGTTTCCGCTCTCCAGCTATAATTAGTGGTGTCATACATTGACAAGCTTGAAATACTTAAATTTTCATGCTGAACTTTTACATTTTATTTTGACTGTAAAAATAATTTAAAAATTCAGTACGAAAATTTAAATATTATCAATCTTGTCAATATATGACGCCACTAATTATAGCTAGACGGCTGAAACTTTCAGAAATAAAAGATCTTTAATTAGATATATGCGTAATAAAAATTTCAGCTCTCTGCTCCAACAAAAAGTATGAAAAATATGATTAACGATTTATCGTCAGTTATTATAAGACACCCTTTATGTATATATATATAAATTGAGAAGTCCTAGTAGCCAAACAGACCTTCGTCAATGGCGAAAGTCATGTGGACGTTCGCCAATTGAAGAAAGCCAGATGAAGTTTCGCCAAAATATCTCCCGAGCTTTCATCAATTGGCGAAAGTCGAACGAAAATCCACCAATATTGACACAATTTCACCTGATTCTCTAGTAGTTGAACAGAGAATGTTTATATATGATACTGTCTACTGTCAGTTCCCATACGATTTTTCTTACCATTTTGCCAACTTGGCGAACACACAGTAACCTTTGGTTCATAGTTGAGTGACTTAACGGCTGTCATTAGCATATGTTTTATTCAGATACTTTGTAGATTGATCAATGTCCGTCACAACACGTACCGCAACGTGTCTACTACAGGTATAGTGTATCTATGAGCATCTTGTGTACAATGACACTCACGTCATCGTGATCTGTATACAAGTAGATAGATTGCCAAGCTTCTGAATTTATTAGTTTTAAACAAAAGATCGTTGGCTGAAACAATAGTGAACTGATCGAGTCGACTATTGCTAATATTGACAAATGTCGATTTGACTTTTCCCAGTATGCGCCGTGGACAGTAGCCAATATACCTCTCGAACTTTCACCAGTTAATAATGAAAGTCTTATTGACTGAATTCTCGATTCCTTTTAAGATAAAACAGACATTATCTTATTCGGGTGGAATTATAATTTTAATAAACATGCATGTATTTATCGTAATACATAATAGTAGAAAAAGAAAGTTTTTTTATGTGTCAACTAATTTTCATGTTATTCATCCATTGTATTTATTATGAATGTTTACGATGATCCGAAGTCGAATTATCGATTTCGATATTATCGTTTCGGTCTATTCATCAGTTTACTACAATTAATACTCCACAATAACAGTTGTATGGAATAATTTATATTATATTAATATATGATTATATTAGGATTTATGAAAATATAATGAATGACAAAATTTACGTCACAAAATACAAAAGCAGGGAAGATATGTTGCTTGAAGCTTTTTTTTATTTCGAAGAAATAAAGTAAAAGAATAATGTAGACTACGTTAGTTTTTTTTCAAATTGAGAGAAAGTCTAATAGCTATGCTATTGTAATATTGAGGGAGAGGTATCATAGGGTGTCACAACCCGTCAGATCGCTTCTTAACCTGACCTAGGGAAATTTCTTGTGCCTATTATGGCGAAAGCACTGGGTACTCAGGAAGGTCTATTATGGACGTGTGGTCTGTGTTGTCGTTATGTACGTCACACCTACGTTCATGACCCTACTGGTCGAGTGTGATCCACTCCGTCATGTATTCATTTCAGGCTTACAGAGGATCTTGCTAGTCGTGCCTACGCGATAATGAACTGAGAAAAGCCAAAAAGAGATTAATAGCAATGAGAATGAATTTATTCAGCAATCTAAAAGAAAAAACGAAATTTACAGCTTGTTTTTTACATCCTGGAGTCGCTGTCTATACAATTGTAGGTGTGGATGATTCATAGGTAGTGAAAGTTGTGCAATTTCAATAGCACGTTCATAAAGTTGACTTGCCTTCGAATATTCTTTCGTATTTTCATACACAAGGCCGATATCATGTTTTGAAATAGCCATGTCAGGATGATTTGGAGGCAAAATTTCTTCTCTTATTTTATGTGCTTTGTCGTATAATTCAAATGCTTTCGAGTAGTCACCCATATTTTTATACACTTGACCGATGTTGTTGTAGGAAATAGCCAACGAGGGATGATTCGAAGGGAGAGCTTTTTCTTTAATTTTAAGTGCTTTTTCGTAAAATTTAAGTGCTTTCGAGTAATTACCCATGTTTTTATACACTAGACCGATGTTATTGTAGGAAATAGCCAAATCGGGATGACTCACAGGCAGAGATTTTTCTCCTATGTTAAGTGCTTTTTCGTAAAATTCAAGTCCTCTCGAGTAGTCACCCGTGTATTTATACACTGCACCGATGTTGTTGTAGGAAAGGGCCAAATCGGGATGATTGGAAGGCAGAGCTTTTTCTTTAATTTGATGTGCTTTCTCGTAATATTCAAGTGCTTTCGAGTAGTCACCCATATTTTTATATACTTGACCGATGTTGTTGTAGGAAGCAGCCAATGATGGATCATTTGTACACAGAGCTTTTTCTTTAATTTTAAGTGCTTTTTCGTAAAACTCAAGTGCTTCCGAGTAGTCACCCACGTTGTTATACGCTTGACCAACGTTGCTGTAGGAGATAGCCAAATCGGGATGATATGGAGACAAAACTTTTTCTTTAATTTGATGTGCTTTCTCGTAAAATTCAAGTGCTTTTGAGTAGTCACCCCTGTAATCATACATCGAACCTATCTTAGCGTAGCAAATAGCCAAATCGAGGTGATTCGGAGGAGGAGATTTTTCGTAGATTTGACGTGCTTTGTCGTAAAATTCAAATGTTTTCGAGTAGTCACCCATGTTATTATACGCTATACCGATATTACTGTAGATGTGAGCCAATGTCGGATGATCATCCGGGAGAATTTTTCGACTGATTTCGAGTGCTTTTTCATAAAATGAAAGTGCTTCTTGGTGTTGCCCTTGCTGGTCTTTCGACCATCCAAGCCAGAAATAGATATGTCCTTTTTCACTATCGTCGAATGACTGTTCTAGCAGTGCAATGTACAATTCTTCAGCCTTGTCGAATTGGCCAATTTTGACCAGCAACATACCCATTCGATACCATCCACTGGCGTCGATCTCTTCTCGTATACGACTGGTTAATATACGAATTTGTTGATCATCGTTTGATGTAATTTTAAGGTCCACTTCATAAAGTTGACGATTATTGTCAATTTTTCGAATGTCATCAATTCGAAATACTGTGTGCATGGAGAAGAAAACCTCTTCATCCTTGAAGTAATTTTCCTCTTGGATGGAGGCAAAGGGAGTCGATGAGACAGTGGGATCGATAGTCATTTGAAAAAGGATACCGACCATATCAGTTGTTCCTAAGGATCGGTCGGCGAAGTCAAGGGACATTTCTCGATTTTTACTGGTAGATAAAAAACTATTGCATGATAAAAGACCACCCTTGTTTTTTGAGAGTTTTTCGAAGTCGGCTGTTAATAATCCTTGACCTCGGTAGACTAAGATGTTTTCGTGATATTGACTGACCTGTTTCTTGTGTAACTGTTCGACTTGTCGATGAACATCGCATAGGAAAAATCCAATTCGAATCATGATGTTGCTGTCCAATGTTCGTAAAGCTCGATTGAGCATTTTGTAGATGAAGCACTGACGTGTATACCACCAAATGGCCTTTGATGGTTCATAGTTACGTTCGAATTCTTCAATAATTTTTGTTTCTTGGGCATTGCCAAGGTATTCTTCTTGGCAAAACTTGACGAAGTCTTTGATGGTCTTCTGATCGTGTTCCATATCAAGGAGAATTTCCTTGGATATTTGTGAGTACATGAAGGTTGGATCTAGTTGATTGAGATTTTCGCTGGAACCTCCTTCATTCGCACCAATAATGCTTACGGACATGGTGTTTTGGTTGTATTGCTTGACAGCCATTTTCAACGCATCACAGATGGGATTGATTGAAGTATACACACCTTTAATTTTCGTCCAATTTTTGGCCCATCCTTCATGAAATTGCTTGTTGCCACAAAAAATGTAAATGGCATCAAGTTTTGGCAGACCGTGAATGTTTGGTACGAGTTGTTGTCCAAGCGCACCAGAGGAGATAACGAATGAGGTCTCCTCATTAGTTTTATTGAGCCATTGAACACATTGTTCTGTCGTCGTGCAAGTATTGACTTGATTAACAACACTGCACAATTGCGCGAGTATATGTTGACTTTCTTCATTTGTTGGATCAATGTTTGCATCAGCCCAGATTACTAAATAGCTTTCAGTCATGTGCTCTCTTCGCAGTATGGCTGTTGATAAGGGTGCATTACTTGCAGTGGCATTCATTGTTGATTTGAAAATTGTTTCTGTGGAGTTTTGTGCACCCATATTGGGTATAATTTGTTGTTTGATCGCTTAGTGAATAAGGTAAATAACAGATTGTTGTTTGGATAAGGGTCGCCTTTTCTACGTCGTTAAATATGGGTATTTTTTTTATTATTCTCTGACACTCAAGAACAAATTTCACCTGGCTGTAATTGAAAATATCTCTGTCAACAACAAATGAAAGAGAAATAACCCAGCAACGTCACTTATTCTGTTGTTGTTGTTTCTCACGTTCGTTTGCTTTGGATCAACATAGAAAGCATTTGAAACAAACCGCATTGAATAGCATCTCTCGTTGATTTTTTTTACTGAATTATTTACAAGAAAAACATTTTTTTTTCATTCTGATAAGAACGAAAAAACCAACAAAGATATCGTCAGTTCGACTTTTTTAAAGTATGATTATAATGGACATTGTAACAGTGTGCATGAAACAA